CAAACCCCCAGTTCTATAAGCCTGCTACGGAGGCTAATCAGAAAACAGCCGAAGACCACCAAACCCCCAGTTCTATAAGCCTGCTACGGAGGCTAATCAGAAAACAGCCGAAGACCACCAAACCCCCAGTTCTATAAGCCTGTGCTACGGAGGCTAATCAGAAAACAGCCGAAGACCACCAAACCCCCAGTTCTATAAGCCTGTTACGGAGGCTAATCAGAAAACAGCCGAAGACCACCAAACCCCCAGTTCTATAAGCCTGCTACGGAGGCTATGAAGGATATTACTACAGGCTTCTTTAATTTCCCAAGCGGCTGTTTTTAATGATAATCACTCGATGTAGGTCTCTGTACATGACTGCGTGTTTGGAGAGTAAATCAGGTCAAATAAAGCAATATTACCGCAAATAAATGAATTATATAGCCGACCAAGCTTGAGCAGGGTCAGCTAGTCAAACATTTTCTAACTGCCCGCCATCTATTGAAGGATGAGAGTAAGAAATGTACAACAACTGTGTTAGAAACCCGGGACTGCTAAAGCAACTACAGCTAGCGCTACCGTTCCCCAAGATTGCGTTTATATATGATAGAAGCCATGAAGAAAGTAGACTCTACCAGACTAACTACGATGGCTATATATAGGAGAATAATTGCCAGGATTGGCCGCCTTGTAGGTTTGACTGGCCGCGCAGTTACTACCTTCCCGCGGCCGGACTCCCCTGACCAATTTTACTCTCCTTTTTGCCGAATTCTACCATCCGTATTCCCGTAGAAAGGCCTGGTGGAGGCCACTAAGAAAGCACGTCTTCTCAGAATCGCGGCCATTTCGGCTGCCACGATGTAAACAAAGTCACGTGGAAGTGCTCGCGCCCCATTGGCTGACCCCTATGACGCAACAAACCTCCGCCACCAATCACATCGCCGCATTCGGCAACGCCTGCGGGGGCCGACCAATCAGCGCGCGCCTGAAGGCTGAGTGATTTCTATGACGCAATAGTTCGGCTGAAAGAGAATACGTCGCCAGAAATATAGGATATCGTTGTTTTTCGCCAGCGTAAAATCGTAGCCAGCTTGGATTTCATCACGCAAGCACCTTGTGACGGCCTAATCTAGTCATCAGCCGAGATTCGCCACAAGTTAAGGGTATTTCTGAGCGGTATTTTGCCACATTGTGCGGTATTTTGACACATTTTCGTGGAAAGCAACGCTCTCTTTGTGTTCCGGATTTGGCGAAGACTGCGTCTCTCTCTTCTTGAACAAAAACATCAGCGGAAAAGGAGACATGGACAAGCAAATCGCTGTGGTAAGAGGGATGTTCCTTTTCTGTTTTTGTATGGAATAATATAACGAGATCTTTAATATGTCGAACTATAAACGTTTATATATAAAAGCTAGCCTCCACCAGGCCTTTCTACGGAAATACGGATCGTAGAATTCACGGCAAAAAAGAGAGTAACGTTAAAATTGGCCAAGGGAGTCCGGCGCGAGGAGGTTGTTTCTTTATTCCCTCGCGCTATATATATATATTAGCGTAGTTAGTCTGGTAGAGACTATACAAAATCACTGTTTGATTAATGTATCAGTATTAAAGACGGTCGTTCTTTGTTTTGTTGCATGTGGCGACAAGGAAGATTTCTGTTGGTGATGAAAACCAAGGAGAGTGTTCAATGTTTTGTAAGCCTCTGGCAGTGTGATGTATGTGTGTGTGTTATGAAAATGAACCATTTTGGCATTTTGCCCTTTTTAAAGAGCGAGGGGGGGGGCATCAATGTACTAAAATAATGCCTTCTGTGTGTCGGCCCTACTGTAATAACAGTATGTTTTAGATTTTCAATGATGTTTTCATCTTTCTCGCATATTGTGTTTACCAAGCTTCGCTCTAAGCTGTTAATTTTTCTAGATCGATGGAGCATCCTGTTTATGTCTTCCATCTCTGTTTGCGAAAATTGAACTCAGGTCATCTTTAGTGTTTGTCAACCTCTTGTATTATAGTCGGTCGATAACTGGTTGTTTTCTATTGACTCCTCTTTTTCTACTCTCCAAGCAGAGGTTGTGGGGGAATGATCGTTAGCTTTTTATATATGGCCGTCGGTGGCCGGTGACCTTCTCAGGCTAATGGATACTGCCTGGCCAATTTGATACTGTCTTTTTACCACCAAAAGGGATCTGCTTGGAGATTATCTTTTTTCGGCCTCATGGGTTTCGTGCTTTTATTGTGTACTCTCCAAGCAGAGGTTNTGGGGGAATTATCGTTAGCTTTTCCATATATGGCCCTTTTTTATTGCTCGCTACCCCACCAACCTTGGGTCTCGCATGGACCCTCTCTGGCCAATTTGATACTCTGTTTTTGCCTCCCTAGGATCTGCTTGGAGATTAGTTTTTGTGTTGATGTTTTCATATATGGCCCTTTTTTGAGACCCTAGGATCTGCTTGGAGATTATTTTCTTTGTTGATGTTCCCCTTGTATGCACGGCTGGCCCCATAGCATGACCCTCTCTCGTGGTCTATTATGTGCTGTGTGCAGGCCCCTGACCTTGGAGCACTAGTGTTTTACTCACGTTGCGTATCACATGATGTTGTTGTGATCGCTGTGAAGAAAACCGTACGCCGTGAATGGTAGCCTCCATAGCATGCCAAAACTGGGGGTTTGGGGGGTCTTTGGGAGCTTTTATGTGCTATTTTCTGATTGTATATAGACAACATAGCCGGCCTGGTTGAAATACCCACGTTTTTTTAGAACTGGGCTAATCAGAAAACAGCCAAAGACCACCAAACCCTAGCCTCCATAGCATGCCAAAAAGCGGGGGTTTGGGGGGTCTTCAGGGTCTTTGGGATCTTTTATATGTGTATTTTCTGATTGCATATAGACAACATAGCCGGCCTGGTTGAATTACCCCCGAACTGGACTAGTCAGAAAGCAGCCGAAGACCACCAAACCCCCAGTTCTATAAGCCTGCTTGTATCACTTGAATGGCAAGTATCACTATCAGCTTGCTTAGCACGTCTACGTGACACACTAGAAACGTACCGACGGGGTTGGACGTTGAACCCTTTCAGGCTTTCTCGCAAAAGCAAACAAAGACTGGCGGCTGACAAAGAGAGTAGGCGAGAGTGGATTTTAGCCTCCTTGAATGGCATGGTCTACGGCCGTGTTGTTTTTCCGATGGCATATCAGTACATGTAGTTCTCAGTACATATATATATTTCCAAGGATGCGGGTTAAAGAACCGAAAACCTGGTACTATATGATATCGGCAAGAAACACGTTATAAAACCCAAAAGGTCCTATAATCATAGAGCCACTATTAAACTTTTAATTTAAAGGAGTAGGCTACTGTGGGCTATAGAAAGGAATCAGAACAGCCCAGAAAAAAAAAGATGCATCTATAACGTTATGTTTTCGTTCGGACTCAGTGACTGGTAACTACAGGGGCCAGACCGTTTCTGTTCATGAAAAAATGAAAACTGTCCCCTTGAACATTAACCTAATTCTCTACATGGGATCGCGTAACCATGGAGATTGAGATTTGTTACCATGGCAACAGCGAATGGATCACTAAGGCTAAGGATTGATCCGATTTTGAGAGGCAGAGTTTATAGCTAGCCTCTACCAGGCTTCGGCAGGCGGCTGGAAAGAGTAGAGAAATCGGCCAAATAGAGAGATAACATGCCGGGGGAGTTGGTCCACTAGAGGAATGTAGTATATACTCTCTGGCCGGCTATCAAACTCCCATGTATATATAGCATTCCCTTTAAAATTTTGGCCAATTTCTACTCTTTTTTCAGCGATCCTCGGTGCCTGGTAGATTAGCTAGAGAGACTAGAGTTTAGCCAAAGCGCTAGCCTGGCGTATCTTTTTCTGATCAAAATCGTCAATACTTAGTTTTATTTATTTATTTCAAATGCAAACACAGACTTACAGGCAGCAAAGACTGATAAATAAACGTAAGACGGTATGTCTACATAAAGGATAACAAGTACGTTACATATATACACAGCTACACCATACGGGACATCAGATATATATGTATAAAAATACAAGTAGTCAGTAGAAAGCTTTATACTAGAAAACTGAATTTTTAGATAGAAATCTGCGGGTCAGTACCCCGGATGTTGTGGTGGGATCTCCCCTCGTGACGCTGAGTCGTCAGCTGACTAGCTATGACGTCACAGCCGGCTATAAATAACCCGCGCCGCGATCACCCAGGCGGGAAGATGGATGTGTTATTCATGGACACGCGGCATACATGTAGCTGCGGAGGGCTTTTATGTCGCCGTTTTTGGCGGGCTGATTATGCACATATTCCAAGCACCGGGTGGGATACTTTACAGAACAGAAGGACAGCCAGTAGATTAATTATCTTACATAAAGCCAGACAAAATAAAATTGCCTTACCGGTTGCAACTCAGCTTTCGTCCGCACCGCGTAAATCGCGGCACGCAAACCCGAGTTCCTACAAGACTCTAGCATTCCACAAGGATTGCTATAGGTACTCGTATTTCCCAAGGACTGTTAGAGACTGGAACGAGCTTCCACAAGCCCTACCAGAACTACCAGTTTATTAAGGAAGCTGTTCTTCTACACTTGAGGAGTATTTTGAGCGCTGCGCACTGCGCACTAGATTTCACTGGTTTTCTATCATAGATACGGAAACAAAAGGCTTATTCCTTTTCCATATACTTTTGGAATCAAGGCCTATCCATCAAAGCCGGCCCAGCATATAACATGTAGCTACGCGCGACGGGCATTTTGATATCGATGTCGGTGCCTTTCTTCTAGACCACGCACGTGGCACGCAAACTCTCGTTACGTATCATTCTCTGCCTTGCCGTTACAGACGGTAATAACCACCTGTTATCGCCCTTTCACGTTCCCTACTTTTAAATAGTTCCTAATTTTTCCGAGTCTTGCCTTCTAGGTTCTTTACTGTACTAATTAGCCTGGATGCCGAGAGAACGTACTAAAGCTACATAGCATGAGACTGTGCTAAGCAACTGTTCTTGTTCTTCGCAGCTAAAGAGCGTGGGCCCGAAGTTGGTGTCGTTCTTCAAGACCACGTGTATCTCCTTATTGTTCCCTGACTTGCCCTTAAGTTTCTCTAAGATGTAGTAACCGACTTACCTTTTTTCGTCCTTCCAGCTTAAGAGCGTCAGCTAGCCCGAGTTGGTTCCGTTCTCCACGTCTACATGTACGGTTGCTTATTGTTTCCTGACTTGAACCTACTTACCTGTTTTCTTTCCAGTTAAAGAGCGTTGGGCCGAAGTTTGTTCCGTTCTTCAAGACCACGTGTATCTACTACATCCTGTGGCTAGACGCCGACAAACCGACCCTGTTCTCAGCTCTGATAAAGTGTCTGCCCGTCCTGTCTCTGTGGGTGTTCGTCTGTAACTGTCGTTCCGGACCCAAGTTGTTCCCTTTCTTACCCTTTAGGTTATTTAAGACCCAATAATAACCAACTGTTCTCGCCCTTCTTGTTAGAATAGAAAGCGTCGACGTCCCGTTCTTCTCTACTCTATTCCCTTATTGTTCTATGCCTTGCCCTCTGGTTTCAAGGGTATGAGACTGTGCTAACCAACTGTTCTCGTCCTTCCAGCTTAAGAGCGTTGGCCCGAAGCTGGTCCCGTTCTTCAAGACCACGTGTATCTACTACATCCTGTGGCTGGACGCCGACAAACCGACCCTGTTCTCTGCGCTTATAAAATGTCTCCCGGTTCTGTCCCTGTGTGTGTTCGTGCTGCTGCACGGCATGAGTCTGTCCGACATGCACACGTACGCGAGACGGATCCTCGGGGGGCTGGTGTTCTCAGCGCTGGGAGACGCCTTCCTCATCTGGCAGCACATCGACGGGATCTACTTCATCTATGGCATGGTGGGTGTCGCCTTCCTCTCTGTCTAGACGCTCTCTCTCTCTCTCTCTCCCTCACTCCCTCTCACACACACACACACACACACACACACACACACACACACACACACACACACACTCTCTCTCTCTCACTCTCTCTGTCTGTCTCTCGCTCTCTCTGTCTCTCTCTCAGTCTCTCAGTCTCTCTCTCTCTCACTGTCCTCTCTCTCTCTCTCTGTCTCTCTGTCTCTCTCTCTGTCTCTCTCTGTCGCTCTGTCTGTTTCTCTCCCGCTCTCTCTCTCTCACTGTCCTCTCGTCTCTCTCTCTCTCTCTGTGTCTCTCTCTCTGTCCTCTCTTTGTCCTCTCTGTCTGTCTCTCTCTCTTCCAGTCGCTCTCTCTGTGTCCTCTGTCTCTGTCTCTCTCTCTGTCTCTCTCACTCCCTCTGTCTTGCTCTCTCTATCCCCTCTCTAATTTTTTTCATGGGATCAGTCGGATATAAACTGGATACACGTATTCTCTGTGACCAAAGCCTAAGAGCCGTACGTTTTTCTTCATTTGATAGGTGATGTTCGCGATCGCCCACGTCCTCTACATCGTGTCGTTCGGGTTCTCGCCGCTACGTCTCCCTGTCGGCGCGGCGTTACTCGCAGTGGCTGCCGGCATGTACGCCCTGCTGTACCCGGGCCTGCACGGCGTCTACTCGGTCCTGGTAGGGAGTGTACATCCTGCTGCTCTGGCTCATGCTGTGGAGAGGGATGGCCAGGCTACAGGTACGGACGAAGTCCGCATTTTTATCGTCAAGATCTAATTACGAAACGTCTAGTCAGGTTGGCCATCCTACCTCGAGTTCGAATCCCGGCTGTTGTCGCTTACCCAACATGTATGCTACTGCAAAGGGTCGCAGTCCCGAGGACGTGCCATTAAAGCTGTCGTCCACTGTTTGAGCCTAGTAAATACTGTCTTCTCTGTCACGGCCAGTGGAAGAGTAGCTCTTTATTAGTAAAGCTGGTTTGACATCACTTTCACGATAACTTTTTAATGTGACCACAAATGAACGAGTAGCTCCTCTGTTCACTGTGTCCCTACCTGTGAACCTTGACCAAGTTGCGTGAGCGTCCTTACAGTCTATCAATAGAATTTTGAGATGTAGTCTGTATAGATGTTTTGTTCTTGACCTAGAAATTAAGTCTCTGTACTTTTGTTACCTCACTAAAGCTTCTTCGCCATTTAACCATCCCTACAGGTGTTCAGTAACGATCTATAGCCCAAACTCTGTTCTCTTATAATTTACTATAAAGTTAAAATTTTCAGGTTTATTTTGCATCACTGCTTTGTAGTTGACCTTACGATAGTCGCTGTACATATACTTTTTGTTGGTGAGTCACTAAAGC